AAGAAGAAGAAGAAGAAGAAGAAGAAGAAGAAGAGAAGAAGAAGAAGAAGAAGAAGAAGAAGAAGAAGAAGAAGAAGAAGAAGAAGAAGAAGAAGAAGAAGAAGAAGAAGAAGAAGAAGAAGAAGAAGAAGAAGAAGAAGAAAGAAGAAGAAAGAAGAAGAAGAAGAAGAAGAAGAAGAAGAAGAAGAAGAAGAAGAAGAAGAAGAAGAAGAAGAAGAAGAAGAAGAAGAAGAAGAAGAAGAAGAAGAAGAAGAAGAAGAAGAAGAAGAAGAAGAAGAAGAAGAAGAAGAAGAAGAAGAAGAAGAAGAAGAAGAAGAAGAAGAAGAAGAAGAAGAAGAAGAAGAAGAAGAAGAAGAAGAAGAAGAAGAAGAAGAAGAAGAAGAAGAAGAAGAAGAAGAAGAAAGAAGAAGAAGAAGAAGAAGAAGAAGAAGAAGAAGAAGAAGAAGAAAAGAAGAAGAAGAAGAAGAAGAGAAGAAGAGAAGAAGAAGAAGAAGAAGAAGAAGAAGAAGAAGAAGAAGAAGAAGAAGAAGAAGAAGAAGAAGAAGAAGAAGAAGAAGAAGAAGAAGAAGAAGAAGAAGAAGAAGAAGAAGAAGAAGAAGAAGAAGAAGAAGAAGAAGAAGAAGAAGAAGAAGAAGAAGAAGAGAAGAAGAAGAAGAAGAAGAAGAAGAAGAAGAAGAAGAAGAGAAGAAGAAGAAGAAGAAGAAGAAGAAGAAGAAGAAGAAGAAGAAGAAGAAGAAGAAGAAGAAGAAGAAGAAGAAGAAGAAGGAAGAAGAAGAAGAAGAAGAAGAAGAAGAAGAAGAAGAAGAAGAAGAAGAAGAAGAAGAAGAAAAGAAGAAGAAGAAGAAGAAGAAGAAGAAGAAGAAGAAGAAGAAGAAGAAGAAGAAGAAGAAGAAGAAGAAGAAGAAGAAGAAGAAGAAGAAGAAGAAGAAGAAGAAGAAGAAGAAGAAGAAGAAGAAGAAGAAGAAGAAGAAGAAGAAGAAGAAGAAGAAGAAGAAGAAGAAGAAGAAGAAGAAGAAGAAGAAGAAGAAGAAGAAGAAGAAGAAGAAGAAGAAGAAGAAGAAGAAGAAGAAGAAGAAGAAGAAGAAGAAGAAGAAGAAGAAGAAGAAGAAGAAGAAGAAGAAGAAGAAGAAGAAGAAGAAGAAGAAGAAGAAGAAGAAGAAGAAGAAGAAGAAGAAGAAGAAGAAGAAGAAGAAGAAGAAGAAGAAGAAGAAGAAGAAGAAGAAGAAGAAGAAGAAGAAGAAGAAGAAGAAGAAGAAGAAGAAGAAGAAGAAGAAGAAGAAGAAGAAGAAGAAGAAGAAGAAGAAGAAGAAGAAGAAGAAGAAGAAGAAGAAGAAGAAGAAGAAGAAGAAGAAGAAGAAGAAGAAGAAGAAGAAGAAGAAGAAGAAGAAGAAGAAGAAGAAGAAGAAGAAGAAGAAGAAGAAGAAGAAGAAGAAGAAGAAGAAGAAGAAGAAGAAGAAGAAGAAGAAGAAGAAGAAGAGGAAGAAGGAAGAAGAAGAAGAAGAAGAAGCAAGAAGAAGAAGAAGAAGAAAGAAGAAGAAGAAGAAGAAGAAGAAAAGAAGAAGAAGAAGAAGAAGAAGAAGAAGAAGAAGAAGAAGAAGAAGAAGAAGAAGAAGAAGAAGAAGAAGAAGAAGAAGAAGAAGAAGAAGAAGAAGAAGAAGAAGAAGAAGAAGAAGAAGAAGAAGAAGAAAGAAGAAGAAGAAGAAGAAGAAGAAGAAGAAGAAGAAGAAGAAGAAGAAGAAGAAGAAGAAGAAAGAAGAAGAAGAAGAAAGAAGAAGAAGAAGAAGAAGAAGAAGAAGAAGAAGAAGAAGAAGAAGAAGAAGAAGAAGAAGAAGAAGAAGAAGAAGAAAAGGAAGAAGAAGAAAAGGAAGAAGAAAAGAAGCAGAAGAAGAAGAAGAAGACGACGACGAAGACGAAGAAGACATCTATTGCATTATGGCTTGTTAACTACATGTCCTTGTCTATACCCCAATTTAGTATACGATGGCAAGACAATGTCACATTTCCCGAAACATCGTGTGGAGAAGGCAAAAGCAAAGTTCTTTGGTTCATAAAGGACAACACAGTACACATACACAAATAGGCTCTAACTATGAAGTGACTACATAGGACTCTAATGTATTGAATAAACGATACTCATCTAGTGTCCCTGGCGAAAAAACTTCGTTCAATGGAATGACGGTCAGCCTATATACCTCCAACGCGCAGGTAGGGGCAAAAAAAGGGACGGGTTTGACGCCAACACCGTACACTGAGTGTCTAAGGAGGGAGGGAGGGGTTGGCCTATAGGGCGTAACCGGGGTTGGGTTGTGGGGATGACATTAGTCCATCCGCATGGAATAAAAGTGGTGCCTGTGCTTGCAAACAGACAGACAGACAGACAGACAGACAGACAGACAGACAGACAGACAGACAGACAGACAGACAGACAGACAGACAGACAGACAGACAGGCAGACAGGCAGACAGGCAGACAGGCAGACAGGCAGACAGGCAGACAGGCAGACAGGCAGACAGGCAGACAGGCAGACAGGCAGACAGGCAGACAGGCAGACAGGCAGACAGGCAGACAGGCAGACAGGCAGACAGGCAGACAGACAGACAGACAGACAGACAGACAGACAGACAGACAGACAGACAGACAGACAGACAGACAGACAGACAGACAGACAGACAGACAGACAGACAGACAGACAGACAGATAGACAGATAGACAGATAGACAGATAGACAGATAGACAGATAGATAGATAGATAGATAGATAGATAGATAGATAGATAGATAGATAGATAGATAGATAGATAGATAGATAGATAGATAGATAGATAGATAGATAGATAGATAGATAGATAGATAGATAGATAGATAGATAGATAGATAGATAGATAGATAGATAGATAGATAGATAGATAGATAGATAGATAGATAGATAGATAGATAGATAGATAGATAGATAGATAGATAGATAGATAGATAGATAGATAGATAGATAGATAGATAGATAGATAGATAGATAGATAGATAGATAGATAGATAGATAGATAGATAGATAGATAGATAGATAGATAGATAGATAGATAGATAGATAGATAGATAGATAGATAGATAGATAGATAGATAGATAGATAGATAGATAGATAGATAGATAGATAGATAGATAGATAGATAGATAGATAGATAGATAGATAGATAGATAGATAGATAGATAGATAGATAGATAGATAGATAGATAGATAGATAGATAGATAGATAGATAGATAGATAGATAGATAGATAGATAGATAGATAGATAGATAGATAGATAGATAGATAGATAGATAGATAGATAGATAGATAAATAAATAGATAGCCGCCTCGAGTGCTAGAGGTCCCTGGTTCAGGCTCGATAAAGGCTGGGCTTCTTTCACGAAGACTTCTAGTAATTTCCCCCTCGTCCTTGGGTAGCAAAACCGGGCACCCGTGTGTATTGTTGCGAACGTAAAAAATTTCTTGGCAGTTGGAAATCAAAAAGAGTAGCCTAACGGCGCTGCCAGGGCAAAAGTTGAAATTAAAGATCTATCCAAAGTAGTTTAGGATCCTTGCTGCTTTGTATGTAGTAAGGTAAATTTATCATCTTTCCTGTGAGGTCGAATATGTTTTACAGGTGTTATGTGTGGCAGTGTGTGTTTTACAGATGTTATGCGTGTTAGCGCGTTTTACAGGTTTATGTGTGGTAGAGTTCATGCATTGCGCTGAGATTCTTCCGACTTAGGCTTGGGTTAGAAGAAGAACGGAGAACTTATGGGTTACACCCGTGTACCACGATGTTGACCCGTTGATTCAACATACAAACACGTACACATGCGCGCCACCGTGCGCAAACACTACCGTCGCGTACGTCTATCAAATGATGGAAAGGATTTTTTACATTCAGGTTTTAACGACAAGAAGACAAACAGCGCCGCTCACGTCCCACACCTCGTATCATTTCATTCACCTCACACACGCATACGTGTAGTCCTTAGAACGAAAGCGTCACCTAATACCAGTCGCCGTGTACTAACTTCCTGCCTTAGGGCCCACATCGGAAACCGCTGACCCGCCCTTAGTACTCCTAGACGCCGCAGCATCTCTGGTAGCCTTTTCTCATTTCCGGTTCCGCATTGACGATGGTTTTGTGCGAACATGGCGGATACCACCCTGTTGTACGAAAATCGATAATCGACCAATCGTTGTAATCTATATGCCTGGGGTTATATGCTTTGATAGATCAGCCAAAGCGTGGCACATGTCAATACTATTTCCGGTTCACAATCGTCGACAGCACGAACATTTTGGTTTACTCGGGCTCCTTACAAATTTCCTGGAGGTGGGAACACTCAAAACAGCTCACTCCTGGTTTAGTATGTAATAATTACATATATAAATATATATATATATATATATATATATATATATATATATATATATATATATATATATATATATATATATATATATATACAGTATACTGAATGGCAAACAAACAAATCGAATGTTTTGTGCAGTTGGGAAGAACACCTTTTGGCGCTATACTATACAAGGCATACACTACACCATGGACGAAGAGCATGAGGTAGACCAAGAACAAGATGGAAAGATATCATCAGAGAAACTCTACAACAGCACGATGTGACTATGATCGAGGCTGCCAGGAGAGCAGGAAGCAGAACCTTTTATCATTCTCACCACCAGAAGCAGTAAAAGAGTAAGTCAAGCAGAAGAAGATAAAAAAGAAGAAAGAGGCGGAGGAGGCGGAGAGCAGATAAATATAATATTGTTCTTGAAATAATATATGTGTAAACAAAACCTTAAAATGATACTATCTATATATAATGTAATGAATACGAAACTGTTAAAAGCATTCACTAATAAATCATAGAGCCGAGCAAAAATTACAGACAAGTGCCGGACAGACAACAACAAATAGGCGAAAACAGACAACAAAAGTGGTAGGGAAAATAGCTCATGTAGCAAGCGACTTACTTGAATGACCCGCATGTTCAAACCCGTCTCTTGAGCCAGCTGTTCCCGGATATGTCTGGTGGGTTTGGGCGTGGTAGCAAAGGCGGCCTTCAGCGTCTCCAGCTGCTTGGCTTTGATCGTTGTCCTGGGGCCTCGTCTCTTGGCGCCTACGGTGTTGGTAGAGTTGGGGTTCGTTCCCGTCCCGCTGCCCGGACCATCCATTCCCAGACCGGGACTGGGACAGCTATCGTTACTGTTGCCATCGGGACCCCCGGAACGATCCAGGTGGATCTCTGAGACTACATTGGAGCAGTCCGAGTCCACAGAGCCGGGGCTGACGTCCAGATGAGAGCAGTCACCTTCCTGTTTGATGGGCGGGAGGGGTAACGGGCTACACAAGCGTGGAGACAGCAAGGAGCTGAAGGTTCTGCTGCTGTTACTCATGGTGGAGTTACAGCTGTTGGTTAAGTTGGTCAATCCGCTAGAGCAGCCGTGATGGTTGCCCGTGCTACAGTTTAATGGCTGTTCCAGATTCCCTTCTAAGGATGAAGTGACGCCGTGATGGTTTAAACCCCCGAGGGAATGTCCTTCCGAACTATTTATGTGGAGAAAGTTGTTGCTCTTACAACCGAGAGAATGAGCAAGGCTGCCGAGAACCGAATCTTTCGTGTCGTTAGGACTGCAGTCGCCGTCTAAGGGAAAATCCTTCTCTGAAATGTTGCCCTGGGTGTCGATTCCTGAGTCCATATCGCCGTCATCCTCCATGTCTGAACCTGGAAAACAGAAAGAAATCTGCAAATAAAATAAAATACAGGACCTTTCTGACACGATTGGCGCAAACGGTTATATAGTTGGGGAGGGGCGAGGGGGGGGGGAGGGGAGAGAAAGAAAGGCAAATGGTATCAGACTCATTTTTTATGGACCGGTTGGCATTCGGGGCTGATGTGGTCAAAATCACACCTGCCGCCTTTACTTTACCGGTATTTCTTGACAACCATTTCTTCATCTTCTTCTTGTTTTTCTTCTTCTTCTTCCTCATCTTCTTCTTGTTTTTCTTCTTCTTCTTCCTCTTCTTCTTATTTCTTCTTCTTCTTCTTCTTCTTCTTCTTCTTCTTCTTCTTCTTCTTCTTCTTCTTCTTCTTCTTCTTCTTCTTCTTCTTCTTCTTCTTCTTCTTCTTCTTCTTCTTCTTCTTCTTCTTCTTCTTCTTCTTCTTCTTCTTCTTCTTCTTCTTCTTCTTCTTCTTCTTCTTCTTCTTCTTGTTTTTCTTCACAATATTGATAACTGATTGTGGTGGTGATGATGATGAAGTGATGAACTGCAACGACTAACTACAGCCGCATTGTTGACACATATTCTGCCCAGCTTCCGTATCTACTGTAACGGACACAGTTGACAGATTAGGGGGGGGGGGGGGGACAGCCATCCTTGTGTCCCCAACACCACTCCCCTCCCCCACCCGCCTCATTGTCAGATCCTCCCGAGGGAACCATAAACAGTCAGCCCTCATCGAAAGACTGGAAGGAGACAATCCTCGACGCCGGGAAACCACCCCATCACGATCCCTGCAGTCCAGAATCCGGACAGAATCCTGGGACCCCCTGGAGCTGCAAGACCTTTCGGCCGTTCTGCTTGAGTGGTTCCACGCGTGGTGGTCGCAGCGTGAGCGCTAGACCAAGACCCGGGGGAAGAAAGTCAAATCCGCGGCCAGCTGTGAGGCCACATGTCAGGACGGTATCATGGCGTCGACCCGGGGTCTGTCTGTGGCAATATCATGGCGTAGACCCAAGGTCTGCGTCGGTACCATGGCGTCGACCCAGGGTGTGCGGCAGTATCATGGCGTCGACCCAGGGTGTGCGGCAGTATCATGGCGTCCACCAGGGTCTGCAACAGTATCATGGCGTCCACCAGGGTCTGCAACAGTATCATGGCGTCCACCCGGGGTCTGCGGCAGTATCATGGCTCCACCAGGGTCTGCAACAGTATCATAGCGTCCACCCGGGGTCTGCGGCAGTATCATGGCGTCGATCCGGGGTATGCGGCAGTATCATGGCGTCCACCCGGGTCTGCAACAGTATCATGGCGTCCACCAGGGTCTGCAACAGTATCATGGCGTCCACCCGGGTCTGCAACAGTATCATGGCGTCCACCAGGGTCTGCAACAGTATCATGGCGTCCACCAGGGCCTGCAACAGTATCATGGCGTCCACCTGGGGTCTGCAACAGTATCATGGCGTCCACCAGGGTCTGCAACAGTATCATGGCGTCCACCCGGGGTCTGTAATAGTATCATGGCGTCGACCCGGGGTCTGCAACAGTATCATGGCGTCCACCCGGGGTCTGCGGCAGTATCATGGCGTCCACCCGGGGTCTGCAACAGTATCATGGCGTCGACCCGGGGTCTACAACAGTATCATGGCGTCCACCCGGGGTCTGCAACAGTATCATGGCGTCCACCCGGGGTCTGCAACAGTATCATGGCGTCGACCCGGGGTCTGCAGCCAGGGGCGTTTCTTCCTGGGG